AAAAAAAAAAAAAAAAAGAAAAATTCAGATCACGTACAAATGATTAGGATGTGGAATCAGACCTAACAAAAGGAACAATACCTTCAAAATATCAAAAGTAACTTTATACTGCTGGTGGCTATTTGGAATGTGTTAAGAGTAAACTGGGAGAAAAAAAGTTAGGCAATTTTTAAATCCAGAAAAAAACAAAGTTGTACAAGGTAGGCAATGTAATCATAGTGCACTATACGGCTGGTCTGGGAATAATAGTTATGTAGCATGTAAATGCTGTGTACTAAGTTAGCTATAAATAGTGATAGAAATATATGCTGAGAAGATAAAGAGAAGAAAATGTGTTGACTCAGATGAGGGCTAGTGTAAAGGCACTGTAACTTCATTTAATAATAATAATTCATAAATCAAGAAGCAGAATAAAATCATGTTATTTAGAAACGTGTAGTAGAAAAATACTAGAAGAAATTCCTAAAAGATTTAAAGTGGTTGCCCTGGAGAACAGAAATGGATTGAGTGGAGCCAGAACTTCTATTTTTCAGGGTTATAGTGTAGTTTTCACTTTTGAAACTGTGAATGTGTTTCTTTGATAAAAATAGAAAAAATATATAGGTTCTAAAGAATTAAATGAAGCTAGATGCAATAGTGTGTGCCTGTAATCCTATCTATTTGGGAGACTGAGACAGGAGGATCCCTTGAGCTCAGGAGTTTGAGACCAGTCTGGGCAACATAGAGAGACCTGGTCTCAAAAAATAAAAAATAAGGCCGGGTGCAGTGGCCCCCAAGCACTTTGGGAGGCTGAGGTGGGTGGATCATCTGAGGTCAAGAGTTTGAGACCAGCCTGACTAACATGGTAAAACCCCGTCTCTACTAAAAATACAAAAATTAACTGGGCGTGGTGGCAGGTACCTGTAGTCCCAGCTACTCGGGAAGCTGAGAAAGGAGCATCACTTGAACCTGGGAGGCGGAGGTTGCAGTGAGCTGAGATAGCGCCACTGCAACTCCAGCCTGGTCGACAGAGCAAGACTTTGTCTAAAAAAAAAAAAAATTAAATGCCACGTATGTACCTATGCAACAGTCCTGCATGTTCTCCTGCAGCACCTCAGAGCCACTTCCCACGGAATTTTATGGTACTCATCTTCTAACACTAGAAGGCAAAGTCTACTATGGAGTGGTTTTCCTTGGATATGTAATGCACAAATTTACTTAAGCTTTTTATAAAGACTATCTTTATGCTCCAGGTCAGTCATTTCTCCAGTATTGGGATTGAGGAGTTACGTATGTTCATTGCCGGGGAAGTGGCGGGAATTCGCTGAACTGCGTGGGAGAGGCGAGGGTGCGGGGCTGGGATGCAAGGCACTGGGCGGCTGGAGTGACAGAGACGCTGTGTGAGGGGCGGACGGCTCTTCCCCCTCCTCACCCTATTGTTCCACATTTCTTTGCAACTTTATTCATTCCTTAGGAAAAATTTCCTTTTTCTTTCTTATTCCTGTCTCCCCACATGCCATTCTCAGTAAAGAGCCACCCTTCATCGAAATCCTACCTTTTTCTGGCAACGTGCTCTAAAAAGGTTGGCCAGGAATGATTTTTCCCCCCCGACAAAAATGAAAGCAACACTTCCTTATAGGAATATAGTACTTTAAATTTTAATTTTAAAGCTAGTCATGTGAAAACAGTGGGAGTGGAAAAGAAAGAAATCTCTGGCTGTAATCGATTAGTTGCAAACACCATCGCACTCGGACCCGCCTAGTGGTTTATTTAAACAAACGACATTAAGTAGCTAAAGCAAACCCCTTCTCCCACAAAGAAAAGAAAGCTAAGTGCGTCTGCCTTGGCTCTGGGGAATTCTTTGGCAGGTTGGGATGCAGGGGGAAGCCACTGCACTGCGTTCCCAAGCACTTCTTCGAGAGGGGCCGTGCAATAAAATTTGAATCTGCGACCCCGGGCCAGGAGTGGTGGCGGAACCGGCGGCGCGGCCGCAGCGCCCGGCTGCGAACGCGGGCACCGATTGGTTGCCGGGCCGCCCGGCCCATCGCGCCTGCGCAGTCCTCCTCTCGCACCGCCCAGTCGCCCATCTGCGGCCTCTAGAGTGATACGGCAGCGGCCGGCCAGCGGATAGCAGAGCGGGCAGACGGGTGGGCCTGGGCCGTTCTTTGCGAGGAGGAAGGAGTGGGCCACTCTCCCGGCCCCCAGAAGCTCCCCAGCCCCCCGCAGCCCGCCTAGGCCGGCGAAGGGGACGCTGAAGAGCCGCGACGCTCACCCCGGTGCCGCCGCCTTGGCTGCCATGATGGATCGGAAGTGAGCCTCAGGGCAACGGCTGCCGGCGCCGGCGCTTCGAGTCCCGGCTCCCCGGCCGCCACCGCCCGGAGAAGCGCAGTGCGGAGCGGCTGACTGCTGCCCCTCACTGCCCTTGCGACTCCAAGGCCTTCAGCCCCGGCGCGCTCCCTCCTAGACTGAGCGGCGAGGAGTGGCTCCCGGCCGCCGGCCCGGGCTGCGAGAAAGATGGCGGACCCGGCCGAGTGCAACATCAAAGTGATGTGTCGCTTCAGACCTCTCAACGAGTCTGAGGTGAACCGCGGCGACAAGTACGTCGCCAAGTTTCAGGGAGAAGACACGGTCGTGATCGCGGTGAGTGACCCTCTCCGGCACCCTTCTTCCCGCTTCTTCGGTCCAGGCGGTGTGGGAGTTTAGGGAAGTGGCAGGGTGCAGAATTGAAAGGGAGCGGCGGTGTCCCCAGCCCTTTCGGCGGAGTTTGCCAGTTGAGATAATCCAGGGGAAGGAGACTGCGCCGCGTCCCGGGCGTTCCTGGATCGCCCCCTCCCCAGTCATCGGCGCCGGGAGACGGGAGGCGCCCAGCCTCAGCCCGGGACACTCCCCCACCTGGGGCGTTGGAGGAACGTCCGGGGAGCAAGTTCAGTGCACGTTTGTCTGCGTATCGGTGTGTGCAGTTGCGGATGCTGTTGGTGTTTTGGACTAACCCTAAATTTACCGTTCAAAAATAGGTAATGCCAATACAAAGTTTAGCTGGGGCATTGAGCTCTGAGACAAGCGGTAGTATACTTTAGTAAAGGTACTTAGTTTTATGGAAACACATAACCAGTCCTTGAACAGTATTGTTTCCCCCTGGGAGAAGGGAAAAGCACCAAACAGCTACAAATATTATCTACATCTCAGACGTTCACCACCTTTTGAGTGATGAGTGACTTTTTATGTTAACAATTACAAATGGCAAATCGAGGATTGTAGAAAGAAATAGTTGAGTTTGTTTTTTTAATCAGAATGATCAATTTTGTTTAACAGACCTAGCTGACTTTGGTTGGGTCAAATAAGTGCTCCAAAAGACAAATCCCACTGTTGCTGGGTTTTGTGGGATAACAGCCTGGGAGAAAGTATTAACTTTTTGTTTTTATATCAGACAGAAAGCAGTATAAAAACAAGCTTTTTGAAAAAGAAAAAGTGTTCGATTCATACATCTGCAATTAAGGTCTATCTTGAAGAAAATTGATCTTTAATAATCCCAACAATAATGAGATACTGTTTTTTTTGTAATGTAAAACATAACTAGAGTTGAGTGACTGTTGTCAGTGAGACCAGAATGTGAGGGTTTTTTGAGGTCTGATCTCTGGCATTGAAAATAGCACTCCGAGTTAAAGGAGATTAAAAATTAATTGTATAGCATACAAATCAGTGAACTGTGACTAAATTAGGTTGATCTTTGTTGGTATTGCTATGTAGTAGAAATTTCTACATTGTTATGGTATGAAATTTTAATGTGTTAATTTTTCCTCTAATGTCTTTTTTTTTTTTTTTTTTTTTTTTTTGAAAAAGAGTTTTGCTCTTGTTGCCCAAGCTGGAGTGCAGTGGCATGATTTCAGCTCACTGCAACCTCCGCCTCCTGGGCTCAAGCGATTCTCCTGCCTCAGCCTCCTGAGTAGCTGGGGTTACAGGCGTGCGACACCACGCCCAGCTAACTTTTTTTGTATTTTTAGTAGAAACAGCGTTCATCATGTTAGCCAGGCTGGTCTTGAACTCCCGACCTCAGATGACCTGCCCGCCTCAGCCTCCCAAAGTGCTGGCATTACAGGCGTGAACCACCGTGCCCGGCCTAATGCCGTTCTCTAATACTGTGTTTGGGCTATTTAATTTGGAAGTAGGGCAGAGGTCACAGGAGGTGGGACAAGGATGATTGAAAACACTGACATTGAAGACAGACTAAAGTTCTTTAGGGTTTCCATGTGAAACTTTCTCCAAAGTTCACCTCCAAAAAATGAATGTCTCAGCTCCTTGGTAGGCCTTTGGCAAACAAGTCATTAGGCCACTAACAACTGCCAACTATTACTGTGTAAAGACTGTCAAGCCGGTTCTTTGTTACAAGTCTACAAGAAAAACTCTTGTGTAAATGACATCATAGCCCAGCAGAGGAGGAGAAGTTAAGTGCAGTAATCTTTTTCCTTTAGGATGGTATATTTTACATGTAGTCAGGAGGCTTGCAAGAGTTGTCAAACTTGAGGCTACTAGTTGCTTAAGAGTTTTTGTGATTTATAGTACTCAGCTTCAGCAATGGTTGGCACATCAAACCTAGTTTTTCTTTTACACTTAAGAATGTCTTATTTCTTCAGATTTTGTGTTTACACAAATCTATAATTATCACTATGATTCTTTTTGTTGGAATGCTAAAATTTAGGATTCATAAAATGTATTAAGATTAGAATGTAACCTTTGATGAGGCCCAAATATGACATAAACTATGAAGAAAAAAACTAACATAAAATGAATAAAGGAAACATACATTTATTCTAGGTTTCCATTTGGAAAAAGTTGCTTTTAAGTTCTGTTTCAAAACTTCATTGCTCTATATGTGATATTAGGAATAATGGATAGGATGTTGGTTTGTGAATCAGTAATGAACAGTTAACCTTTAGATAAACTGATAAACATGTTAATTGTTTTTTGTTTGCTTGTTTTGTTTTTTCTTTTCAGACTGAGTTTTGCTTTTGTTGCCCAGGCTGTAGTTCAGTGGTGGGATCTTGGCTCACTGCAACCTCTGCCTCCCAGGTTCAAGTAATTCTCCTGCCGCAGCCTCTCTAGTAGCTGGGATTACAGGCATGCGCCACGACGCCCAGCTAATTTTTGTATTTTTAGTAGAGATGAGGTTTCACCATGTTGGCCAGGGTAGTCTCAAACTCCTGACGTCAGGTGATCCACCTGCCTTGGCCTCCCAGTGTGCTGGGATTACAAGCCTGGCCCGCATTACAACTGAATGACAGCCTTAAAAAAGGCAAGCTGTTTGGTTCATTGTTTTCAGGAACTAGTTTCATGAACATAGTAACAACATAAATTACTCTGAGGTCTCATTTTTTGTTCAGTTTTTAAAATGAATTGTTTCATTTTGTAAAAGGTATAAGAACAGCCAGAAGGAGCAGAATTAGAAAATATCTGGGTAAAATCTCGGTTTATTTTTTTCATTTTACTAGTTCCTTTTTTTTAAATGCATTTTACTAGTTCCTAATCCCGATTCCTAATGAACAGTCTAGGAGAGAATTGCTGCAATGCAGCATTTAAAACTAAATTTTTAAAAACATGATTTAAGAACATTTAGTACACAGTCTTCAATTTAGATTTTTAGTTTATGTTGTTAGAAGCATAATGATGTTAGAAGCATTGTCAGTGCTCATAGAGAAGTAATTTTTAAGGATTTTGATTTTCTTCAAACTTCAGTTTTTAATACTTTGTCCAGACTATTTTCCTGCTACTCATGTAATCAGTGATGACACCATGGCAGGCAAATCTTTTAATTTCATGGTGTTTCTCTGTATGTTGTGCAGCCCTTAATACAGAATTCATTTTTAATTAAGTGCTTGGTGAAGTGCTATAAAAAGTGAATGAAATGAATTATGAAGGTCTTTAAGTGATACAAATATAAGCTATTTGCTTTAAATTAGAGAACTTGTTACCCACAAAACAGAACAAGGGAAACAGTTCATGTCTTTGAAATGAGCTTGCTGAAAACAGCAGAAAAAAATCAACAGAAAAAATTTGGAGCTTGCTGAAAATGCCAGGAAAAATCAATAAAAAATTAACATCTATTTATGAATCATGAAAGTAGAAAGAGATTATTTGCATCCTTAAGTACCTTTACAAATCATTATTCCTTATATGGTACACTGTAAAGGCCTCGAGAACCAAAAACAAGCTATGGTAGTTCATAGAAATTAGAAGAGAATAAAACTAATTAGATAATCTTGCCCAGTTCCTTGCCTAAAGCAAAAGAAGATTCTCTCTTTTCAAGTGAGTAATTTGGTGTTTGAACCTTCTTGATTACATGAAGAGGGAAAAATTGAAAGAAATCAGAGGCAACCATCATCACATACCTTTACAGTTGTGGGATGTTAGCCCACAATAGCTTCTAACTAAGGAAAATCTAATGTAATACATTCCCAGGTGATCTGAAATGATCCGCTATTCAGAATTCCAGAGAAACACAAATCCCTGCCAGAAGGGTGTCCTTCATAACCAAATTTGGTGTTCAGCCTGGTCAGTGCAGACTCAGACAGGAGTCACTTCCCTTAAGAAATCTAAGGTATGATTGCAGTTCAGATCAACTTATGCCTTTTTATTTGTCCCCTTAAAATGTCAGTCAGATGTGAATACACCTTGCAATTTGGAGCTATTAGTAAAATTGAAGTCTGAAACTTTGAGGATCTTTGAAGATACATGGCATTAAAAGCTGCCTAATGTACATTTCGAGGCTAAGAGCCAGGTTTGAAAAGTATAGATGTCCTGATGAGTTTATCTTTGTTTAATTTATTTGAAAGATAGAGATATGCCTTAATTATAGACTATTAGAAATAATTTTTATGTTTCACAGTCTTGATTTTCATTCCAGGAAGCCATAGTTATAGTTATATTTATGGCTAGATCTTTAATTAAAACATTTGCCTTACTTAGTATTATAAAATCAAATTTGGTTTTGCAATCAAGATAAGACTATTTTGTCAACTTAATGCTAAACATTTGAGTTAATTTTTAACAATGATAACTTTTAGAAAGATAATCACTCAGCTTCAATTATTTTTATGTTTGTATGTTACCTTTTAATAGTTGCCATTTATATTAGTAAGGTTGTAGTGGGAGTTTGTATATTTGCTTTGAGTTGATACTAGAGTAAGCAGCTTCATAAAGTACTTTTGATGCCAGCTTGACTATTAAAGCTGTTTACTGTTAGGAAACTGTTTACATTATTTCTGGCATATTTCTTGGTAAATGGTTTAGGAGCACTATTTTCTGTTGATGTAAAAACGGAGGCCAGGCATGGTGGCTCACGCCTGTAATCCCAGCGCTTTGGGAGGCTGCCACACGTGGATTACTTGAGGTCAGGAGTTTGAGACCACACTGGCCAACATGGTGATACCCAGTCTCTACTAAAAATACAGAAATTAGCCAGGCGTAGTGGCGTGTGCCTGTGGTCCCAGCTACTCAGGAGACCAAGGCAGGAGAATCGCCTGAACCAAGGAAGCAGAGGTTGCAGTTAGCCGAGATAGCGCCACTACACTCCAGCCTGGGTGACAGAGCGAGACTGTCTACAAAAAAAAAAAATATATATATATATATATATATACAAACACACACACACACACACACACACGTGTGTATATATATATATATATTTTGGTAGTATGTATATATATGTACACCCACACATATTTTGGTAGTGTGTATATATATATATATATATAAACACACAGAGAGAGAGGACTTAAAGCTCAGTATTTCTAAAATTGTGTTACTCATCTACAATATCTGATATCTTTATAGTCACTAGATGAATATCTGCTGGATAAATGAGGAGGGATAATTACTTTCTTTTTGCATAAACTATTTGTGTGATTCATTTCTGGGTGGCGATTGTTATTTTGATTGTACTTAACATTTGTTTTCAGAATCGTTCACCATAAATCTATCTTGTGTCAGCAGTAAAATAAGAGATTTCTTTTAGCCACACCTGTAGAATTGAATGTTATTGTTTCAGTAGCATCTGAGAAAAGGATACATTCACATATGTCATAACTAAAGAATAATCAGACATTGATGCCTATTTTAAATCGATGCCAAAGTGAGGTCATCTTGTTATAACTGTCAGTAATCCTTTCAGCTTTAGAGGGAAAACCAACGCTAATAGTGGCTTAAATAAATAAGAGGTTATTTTTCTCACATAAAAAGCCTGGAGATAGGCCCTTACTTCAAGGTTCCTCACTCTGTTAATACATTTTCATCCTTAGCTGTTGCTTTTCATCATCCTATTTGTCATATTTGCAAGATGGATGCTGCAGCTCCAGGCATTCATTCCTGGAAGAAAAAAGGGCAGTTTCAGCTGAGATAGTCCTTTTTATCAGGATGACAACACCCTTCTCAGAGACCTCCCAGCAGACTATTTTATAATGTTAAGGGCTTTTTCTGGGGTCGCGATTGTTTTGTATTTTAAGACCCAGCTTCCTTTCTTTCCTTTAGAGGAAACTAGAGAGCAGGCAGATACTTGCAAATACCTAGAACCCCTTGCCTCTCTTATTTTCGGATCCTCACTCTTTCTCCTAGATTATTAAATTGTTCCTGCAAGCATTTAAACTTATTAATCTTTTTTTTAAAAAAATCTTTCTTATATAGCCAGATTTTCTGCTCCACTTCATTACCTCCTGTTCTTTTTCAAACCGTTCCATTCTGATCTTTGTCATTGAGTACTCTTTAGTTTGTTTTGACCTCACAGCTATGTTTGACATAATCACTTCCTCCTTGAAAATTATTTCTTTGACTTGCATGGACACTGATTTTTTTCATGCAGTACCACTGACTCCTTCTCAGCCTATATTAATGGTTTTCCAAGAGTGGTCCATGGAGTTCCCAATATTATTTCTGGGGTCCAGAAGGTCAAAGCTGTTTCCAGAATAAGATGTCTTTTTAACCGTTTTGATTATTTGCATTTGACCCTTGCTCCTTGTACTTCAACTTAACAACTTCCATTGGTTTCTGGATGTTACACTATCCTTTCTGCCTTAGGATCTTTAAGCATCCTCCCAATCCCTAGACTACTTTCCTACACGAGATTTTTTTCACCCATCATGACTAATGCTGAAGAAAGTAATGATGAGTTAGTTGCTGCTTATTCTTCAGTTCTTAACTATTCTTTAGGGTGTTTCCCTGATACTCTGCTTTCCCATAGACTTAGCTTCTCCTCTTATATGCTCTCATTGCACTTTCATGGCACTCAATTGCGTGAGTCAGAATTCTGGTCACTTAATTGTTTAATGTCTGCCCCACTGTTACTTATGCTCCACTAAGGCAGAGAAGGAATCTCTCTAGGTTATCATTCTAGCATGCCTACCTCACATTCTATTAAGTATGTGTTAAATGAAAGGATGGTTGAAAAGCTGTTGCAGGACATGCACGGTGGTTCACAGCTATAATCCTAGCACTTTGGGAGGCTGAGGCAGGAGGATCTCTTGAGCCTAGAAGTTCAAGACCAGCCTGGGCAACATAGCATGGTGGCACATGCCTCTAGTCCCAGCTGCTCAGGAGGCTAAGGAGGATTTCAGCCTAGGGGGTTGAGGCTGTAGTAAGCAGTGATTGTTGCCACTGCAGTCCAGCCTGGGTGACAGAATGAGACCCTGTCTCAAAAGTAAATAAATAGGTATTTAAAAAAATAAATAATCACTTGGCAATATTTGACCGGCTGCTATAGTAGTGCCAATTATAATTATTGGTACTTGTAATTATAATTACTAGGCTCTGGGAATATAGAAACGACTAAAGACCATTCTTGTTTTTCTGGAGTTATTCTAATGGGTTTGCACATGGTGATCCCTAAGATCCCTTCCACTTCAAAAATTATGCATACTAGGTGTACTATTTTGAAGAGTAAATATACTATGTGATGGCATCTGTAAAGAAACTTCAAAGTATTCATTTACCTTTAATTTCTATAGTTGAAACATTTTTTTGTTTTTCAGTCCAAGCCTTATGCATTTGATCGGGTGTTCCAGTCAAGCACATCTCAAGAGCAAGTGTATAATGACTGTGCAAAGAAGATTGTTAAAGGTAAATGTACCTAACCTGCCGAGTTGTCTCAGCAATAACCAAAGTTTTGTTTGTGATCTTTTCTACTTACTCAACTTTCTCTTTTTCATTTTAATGCCCTTCTAAGTTGGTTGCAGAAAAAAACTTGTTTAAATAATAAAAAGATCAAATACAATTAATAAATATTCTGCTGCTCAAATTCCATGATCTAATTACAGACAGTACCTAATTAAGGGTATTATGAAAACTTTGTTACATACTTATTCTTAAGAGATGCATTTCTTTTTTTTTGAGACGAATCTCCCTTTGTTGCCCAGGCCGGTGCAGTGATCTCGGCTCATTGCAACCTCTGCCACCTGGGTTCAAGCAATTCTCCTACCTTAGCTTCCTGAGTAGCTGGGGTTACAGGTGCCCGCCACCATGCCTGGCTAATTTTTTTTTTTTTTGAGACAGAGTCTCACTCTATCGCCAGGTGCCAGGCTGGAGTGCAGTGGCACAATCTTGGCTCACTGCAATCTCCACCTCCTGGGTTTAAGCAATTCTCCTGCCTCAACCTCCCGGATATCTGGGACTACAGGCTTGTGCCACCATGCCCAGCTAATTTTTGTATTTTTAGTAGGGACGGGTTTTCACCACGTTGGCCAGGATGGTCTTGATCTCTTGACCTTGTGATTCACCTGCCTTGGCCTTCCAAAGTGCTGAGATTACAGGTGTGAGCCACCGCGCCCGGCTTAATTTTTGTATTTTCAGTAGAGACAGGGTTTCACCATCTCGGCCAGGCTGATCTTATAGTCCTGACCTCATGATCCACCCGCCTCAGCCTCCCAAAGTGCTGGGATTACAGGCGTGAGCCACCACACCTGGCCACTGAGAGATGCATTTCTGTGAGATACTCCCAGGAGAGTTTCCCAGGTGGCAGTTCTAGAAAGAGAACAGCATGAGAATGAAAACAAAATGGCAAGACACATTTCTAAAAAGTAATAGAAAATGGCAGTCTCTCTTTCTTCCATTCCATTGTTTTCCTTTCCCAAAGACTTATCTTGTAGTCAGCGAGAATTCCTTGAGGAATTTAACAAGGGTTGCCAAGGGTAAGAAAAGTATGTGCATTCCAGATAATAGTGTAACTTATACTGTAATATTTATAATTTTATATTTTCTAAAACCATTGAATTTTAAAGCTGAAAGAATGCTCATTGTTTATCTGGAGTTACTTCCAGTTACTATAGAAATCCATTTAATCAAAGGAATGGTTGACAGCTGTAGTTGTTAAAAAGTGCTTCTTAGATTGAGGCAAAATCTGTGTTGTGGGATTCACCACATTAGAGGAGTTGAGATTCAGTATAAAAGTGGACAGATTAGGATAGCATAGGAGCACAGACAGTTTGTCCTAGTAACAGGAGATCAAGTGGAGTTATAGAAGATTTATAGATGAGAGAGAGGGAAAGTGTGGATGTACTCATTATATCAATTCCATATTGTATGAAACAGGGAGCAAAGTCATCATGAAGGTGAGGAAGGAGGAAGAGGTTCTAGGAAAAGACATGAAATGCATGGATTCAGGAAGTGTGAGAGTATTTCTAGGCAGTATTAAGGGCACACTTGAGGTTAGCTGCCAAAAGAGTTGAATTTGCCCATTTGGAGTTTTGCCAGGTGAGTAAGAAAGAGGGAAGAGGAACAAAAGAGAATTGAGGATATAGTCAAAAGAGTGATTATAATGGTGGACCATGGGATCTAAGGTGTGTAAGTTACAGAAAGGAAGGATATGAGGGAAGCTGAAGGGCAGTGAAAGCTTTAAAAGCTTTAAAGGTGGTAACATTAGTGGGTTGTAGATCTCAGTGGGGTTAAAGGTTTGTTGGAATCAGGGTACTGGATGGAGTGATAGAAGGTGAATACAGTTAGTCCCTGACTTAGAACAACTTAAAAATCTTCAACTTTACGATGGTGCAAAAGCAATATACATTCAGTAGAAACAATATTTCTAGCACCTGTGCGACCATTCTGTTTTACACTGTCAGTACAGTATTCAGTAAATTCTGTGAACTATTTAACACTTAACTATAAAATAGGCTTAGTGTTAGATGGTTTTTGTGAACTGTAGGTCAACATATGTGTTCTCAGCACATTTAAAATAGGCTAGGCTATGCTGTGACACCACGACTTAGATGGTAAGTTACCTGTATTTGATGCATTTTCAGCTTAGGGTATTTTTAACTTAGAGCACATTTATCAGGAAGTAGTCCCATCATAAGTTGAGTAGTATCTGTACTTAAAATTGAGATTATGGAAGCAACGCAGTTAGTAATGAAAAGGTGAAGCTGTTGTCATGGAGTTGGTTTCTGAAGTAGTAAAGAAAGGATAAGTCCAGACTTGTGAATCATACCTGTAATTCCAGCACTTTGGGTGGTTGAGGCGGGAGGATTGCTTGAGGTCAGGAGTTTGAGACCAGCCTAGGTAACAGCGAGACCCCATCTCTTTTCTTAAAACAAAAATGAAGAAAGGGTAAGATCGCAGAAAATTTGGTCAGGGAGCTGAGAGGCCAGGGTATTTTAGTGGGATTGTCTGCTATGGACTTTGAAACCACAAATATTACAACAGTAATGGTATTGGTGAGAGAGGGCGAACTGGGTACTGAACTCTTCATAAAATGAAGGGGAATTAATACGTGTAATTCTGTAAATGACTGCAACAAAGAGGAACAGGCAGTGCCATCATGTTGTAAGCGTCACATGGTTTTCCAGAGGGATCTGTCATAAAACACAATTTTTTTACATTCTTTGATTCAGACATCTGTCTCATCAGTACAGTTTAATAGTATGTTAGCTTTTTAACTAACAGGAAGTTGCTGATTGATGAAGTCATGGGCAATTTGAATGTACTGGTCTTTTTTGTATCTGTTGCCACCAGCTTTAAACCCCATTACTTACTTGGACTTTGGAGGGCAAACCTTTAAAGTACAGATTCCATTTTGTTCATTTTAGCTCTTAATCGTGTTTTGAGTTTTATTTATTTTTATTTATTTATTTTTTAGTTCATGTCTTTTACTAACTCATATAGTTACTTGTCTTCTGGTTTGTTGAAGCAGTAAGTCAGACAACATTTGCCACAATGTCTGTCACAGTGGCTTGCTATAAATACTCTAGCACCGCAGTTATCAGAAGGGCACTCTCGACGAAGGTGACTAGTTTTGCCATTCTCACCCCCCTTTTAATATTTCAGGACAGCCAGCTTAACCTTCTTTCTCTTGTGTTTATTCTTCTTGGGAGTGGTGTAAAACTTCTTCCTTTTCTTAGTACCACTGTGAAGTCTCAACACAAGATGAAGAGTAGACTCCTTTTGAATGTTGTAGTCAGGCAAAGTACAACCATCTTCCAGTTGCTTGCCAGCAAAGATCAGTCTTTGCTGATCAGGAGGAATTCCTTCCTTATCCTGGATCTTGGCCTTTACATTTTCTTTTTCTTTTTTTTTTTTTTTTTTTTTTTTTTTTGAGACGGAGTTTCACTCTTGTTACCCAGGCTGGAGTGCAATGGCGCGATCTCGGCTCACCGCAACCTCCGCCTCCTGGGTTCAGGCAGTTCTCCTGCCTCAGCAGCAGGCACGTGCCACCATGCCCAGCTAATTTTTTGTATTTTTAGTAGAGACGGGGTTTCACCATGTTGACCAGGATGGTCTCAATCTCTTGACTTCGTGATCCACCCGCCTCGGCCTCCCAAAGTGCTGGGATTACAGGCTTAAGCCACCGCGCCCGGCCGGCCTTTACATTTTCTATCATATCTGAGGGTTCAGCCTCGAGGGTGATAGTCTTCCCTGTAAGGGTTTTCATGAAAATCTGCATTTTGGTGGTGGCTCCACTGCAGGTGGAGGATTGAAAAGCTGAGTTTTATTTTTATAATTATCTTACTGGGGATCTAGTAAATTGGTTGTTAGCATATTTGATAAGTCTATTAAAGTGTCAAAGACATTGAAGTTTGAAAAATATGATTCGAAATCATTTATAAAATGCTTAATGGGCCATGATCCCTAGCTTAATCTTCTAAAATGAGTAAGATTGTTGGCAGTTATTTAAATCACACTGTTGGGGTATTCAACCAACTTCAGACCCTCTTACCTATACAGTTGGCTAGTCCTTAGTTTGTCAACATAATCAAAAGAAAATGATGAAAAACTTGAATCCTTCTATCAAGCAGTGGTGCATGACTCTGGTATTTGCCCAGAGTACCAGTTGAATAACCAAATCTAAAAAGGAAATAAGGTTAGTTTAACCATAGTCTTTCCTTAATGAAGTTTTGGTATACTTATTTCCATAATTAATCTATCATTTTTCGCATTTTGAAATTGTATATAACATTTGTATCTTCTGTTATCTTTGTTCTCTTTGGCTTTTAAAACTAACCTACAATAGCTATGAGATTTTTATCCCATAAATCTCATAAGAATGAGGTATGTAACCCTCCTTAGTAACTAGAAACTTGGGTTCATGTGAAGCCGTTCTTTTGGTGTCATCCTATCCACATCAACCTTAAAGTCTCTCTCAAAAATGTTTATTCTGTTGTTCTGTTTTGAGGATCATATTTGTGGAAAGTGGTAATAAATAGAAGTAAAACCTCTGTTTTACTGATGACATTAAAACAGAGGTTTTATTTATTTTTATAAATAAATAAATGTCATCAGTTTTAATGTCATTAGTTAATATTTTATGATCTTTCCTAAGAAGTGCAGGTTCATTCATTCATTATTCTTTTTCTGAATATGACTTTAAAAGTTCTTTTTAGGGCCTTAGTTTTAATTTTGTTTAGGTTTTCTAAGAGTTACTTATTCTGGACTTTTACATTTTTCATGCTGTTCTAGTGAGTTCTCTTGTACATCCTTAGTTACCTAGTCTCTTAATAATAGGCCCATACTCAGAGTTTTTTGAAATCTATTGTCCTTTAAGTAGTATCTAACCTAAAAGAAAAAAAAAGATGAAGTCTGTTGTCCTGACCTCTAGGGTACATGCATTTATTCCTTTTGTTCTGTTTCATTACTATTTACAGTAATAGTTATAATAGTATTACTTACTACTGTTTACAGTAAGATGAAATCCTTTGCTTCCTGAAATTTCTTTTCTGAAAATTTTAGTCCTTCCTTCATCCTGTTATACTGTTTGGAACTGCGTTCAGGATAATAGTTCCCTTCTTTGTAATATGGTAAGAGTATAATCTTTGGAATCAGATGGACGTCGATTGAATTCTAGGCTCTGCCACTTTCTTGCTTTGTGACTTTTGGCAAGTTACTTAACCTTTCCAGGTGTCCATTTCTTCTGCAAAATAGGAACTAGGAGTTAAATACACAACAGGTATCAGCTGCCAATTGTGTCCTCTGTCTTCTTAGAGGGAATTATTAATTCAGTCAGTCATGGTTGTACTTGGGATAAACTCATAGTCTCAGCTATTTCTACTGTGCAAAATTAGACTTCCAGCAAGTGTTAGAATACAAGGTTTCTATCATTATCTGTTTGTTTTTCTATGCCACCTTTGTACTTTATCTCAGTATCACCTGGCCATGACTTTTTCCTTTTATCTTCACCCAAGTGAAGATACCATTTTGAATGAGACTGTATGTAGTAGCCAGTGGGACTTGTCCTGGACAAGGATATAAATGTGATAGTTACCAATAAATACATGTATTTAAGGAGAAAGGTGGCATGGGGGTAGGTGGTGGGTGTCTAGGGAGGTGTGAGGACAGGAAACCAATTAAATACATGGTAGGTTGTACTTGGGACAGTCATTGGTAAATAGATTGAATGGGAAGCCATGGTTAGAAATTGTTGGTAGGCAAAGATCAGCAGAGTGATGGGCCAGCTGGGATTTCTTTTGAGATAGGATTTGATGAGCAAGTTGCCAGTAATGACCTGAAAGCAGATAATACTCTGGGTCCCTGACAAGTTCATTGAGGTTGCATTGGCTCATAATTGTCTGGACAAGTTTATAATTTGATTATGTGTAGGGCCATTTCCCTATTTGTAGATTTCTTAGATACAATTGTTTCTTTTGAATAACGTTTATCCACTTGTTTTCGCTTTAATTCTGAATCTGAGTGATTTGTTTCTCCTGTGTTAAGTAGCTATTTATTCAGTGCCCACTATATGATAAGCATCTTACCAGGTCTCTGTAGATTTCCTATTTTTTCCACCATGGCTTCCTGACCTGAAGTCCCTGCCACTGTATTCACCTTTGGTTTTCCCAGATGTAGCCTGCCTTGTGTTTATTTTGGTTCCTGTGCTCCTTGAGCATATAGAACGGTGGTTAAGGGCAGGTCTCTGGAGCCAAAACTATTTGTATTTGCATCTCAGCTTCATCTTACTAGCTGTGGAGATACAGGAAAGTTATTTAACCTCTCTGCATTTTGGTTTTCTCATCTATAAAATGGGACTAATAATAATACAGTGCAGACGGGTTTGTGATGATTAAATACAATAATATATAAAAAACGGTTAGAGCCTGACTCACTGTAAGTTTTCAGATGTTAATAGTAACTTTATATGGTGACTTCTGATTCTCAGAGCTTTTCCTTAAGTAGTCATTTTATTGGGGAGGCTGAAGTTCAGAGAAATTAAGCGACTTTCCTAAAAAATGATGTGCTGTTAATCTCGCTAGCTAAATACGTTTTTTTCTATTGATAAAGTATGAAAGAAGTAATACTTGTTCAGCGTTGTCCACCTTTCTGTTTCTCATAGGAATGACAAAAGTATATTTTAAAATGGGAGAGAGGCTTTAGAAAGATGCTGTAGATTGGCGATGGTAATACATATTTAGCAAGCATTTGAGTTCCTCCAGATTGCCAGGCAACTGTGTTAGGAGTTAAACACAGTCCTGACCTTGAGGAGTTGACAGGCTGGTGAGTAAAGCAGACAAGTAAATTGACAGAATACTCAGTGGTAAGCCTTATGTATGATTAAATGCAGATATTGTAAGAACACGTAGGATGAGACTTTTACCCAGAGCTTGGGTTTAAGGAAGAGGTAAATGTGATTCATGAAATAATTTTGCTTCCTTTCTCAAAAACGAAAAGATTTTGAAGGAAAGTTTCAAATGTTTGGAGTCTCTTAAAATCTTCAGGGAAGTAGGTAATGATTTTTTTTTTCTTATTAATAAATCTTTCTTTAGGAAATCTGCTATCTAGTTAGTTATTATTTTCTTTTTAAAATAATCAATAAAAACAAGGATTGGCTTGCTTACTGGTTTGCTTTACACTGTTATGTGGTGTTTCCAACGGAGGCTTGTCTTTTTATTTTGGCTTCCTCTGAAATAGAATGTGATTTCATAGTACCTTTCTTGTTACCAAAAACAAACAACAAACAAAATCCTCAAAAGCTAGAAATCAAAAGATTGCCTTTTTCCACCCCTTTGACCTACTCAAAGAATATATTTTAATGTTAATGGCAGATCTTGGGGTTATCAAAGGCTAGAAAAAAACTAAAAAAACAATTTCATAGGAGGGTCAAGTGCAGGGGCTTACTTAGGCCTATATTCCTAGCACATTGTGAGGCTTGAGGCAGGAGAGTTGTTTGAGCCCAGGAGTTTGAGACCGGCCTGGGCAACATAGTAAGACCCTTTCTCTACAGATTTTTTTTTAGAATTAGCCAGGTGTGGTGGCATGTGCCTCTAGTCCTTGCTACTTGAAGCTGAGACAGGCAGCTTTCTACACCCAGGAGGTCGAGGCTGCAGTGACCAGTGAGCTATGATTGCGCCACTGCACTGAACAGAGGGGAGACCCTGTCTCAAAACATTTTTTTTTCAATAGGAACTTTTTGGTGATTGATATTGAGGTAGGACTGAGTGTTACACTTTGTGGGTAGGATAAAGAGGAAGGTAGGGGTTTGTGAGGTTTAGCTACTAATTAACCATCAATTAGTCCTATTTCTAAAATCTCATCTGCATGTAAATTGGCAGAGGATTTTTTTCTTTTTTGTCAAATAAAGCTTTGGAATGTGGATTTAGTGACATTTGGGATGTACACTGATAGACAAAATTCTTTATTATAAGCAATGGAATTTAAAATTTATTTCTTAATTGACCACAGAAAGCAGTCTGGGTCCAGAGAAAGTAATTGCTGAGATGGGTCATCACTAAGAAAATTACTATTGTTATTTATTTCCTTTAATACCTTTATAAATCCTTTATGTACTAAACTTTGATGGAGTCTTTCATATTAGCATGAAGAAAATCTGAATCTTTGTTGCCATTCTTTCCACAAATATTTTTTTTTTTTTTGAGGCAGAGTCTCACTCTGTCACCCAGGCTAAGGTGCAGTATCTCGATCTCAGCTCACTGCAACCTCATTTTCCTGGGTTCAGGCGATTTTTTTTGCCTCAGTCTCTCAAGTAGCTGAAATTGTAGACATGCACCACCGTATCCAGCTAATCTTTGTATTTTTAGTAGAGACAGAGTTTGGCCCATGTTGGCCTGGCTGGTCTCAAACTCCTGACATCAAGTGATCCACCCTGTTCCGCCTCCCAAAGTGCTGGGATTACAGGAGTAAGCTACCGCACCCAACCAATTAATATCCCACAAATATTTTATTATACTGAATTTAGTATGCATGGGTTAGGAAGAGGGGTGTGTATGTGTGTGTGTGTTTATCTTTTAGGCGTTTTTACCTCACTAAGAATAAACATCTGACATTTTCCTGTAACATTCTTTAATTACTTTTTAAAAAAAAAACCCTTTTTACTACCTATCATCTTTTTGTTTAAATAATTTCTTACTAATCTTGCTTAAGGGAAAAAATCCCCTGAATTATAAAATCTCATATTTTCTCATAGATGTACTTGAAGGATATAATGGAACAATATTTGCATATGGACAAACATCCTCTGGGAAGACACACACAATGGAGGTAACATTTTATAATCTGTACTTAGATGTAGTTTGCAATACATACAGCAGTCATTCATTATCTGTTATATTATTTTACGATGCATAAACATTTTAATTTACTCTTTATTGCCCTTTCTCCTGCAAATAATGAACATTTTAGACAAGAATTTTCTGTCACCCTGTATGGGAATTTTGAATGCTTATGTGCTGTTGATTCTATTTAGTATAAATAACCTTTTCCTGTTCTCCTTGGCCCCTCCTTCCTCAAATACCTTCGCTCTTTGATAACAATGTTGCCATAATATCAGTGCTGCTGTTAATGATAGATATGGACCTACTATAGCTTTACTTCTAGAAAACAACCTGTGGTCTTCTGCCACTGCTAAAGAGCATCTGTTTTTATCATTTATCTGAGTGTACTATATTAAGTAAATCACTGCTTATTTTAGTGTGATTCAGATTACTGATTTTCATAAAGTCATAGAGAACGACATCCTATTATTTGCATGAATTTGCCTTGAAGTAGAAGAAATAATGCAGAATTATATGGAAAAAAACTAAAATCTTTTTGATTATGTTCATTTTACAATGAACATTTTACAAGCATGGATAATCTAAATCTAATTAATTAAAGGGTTAAGATATGTTGGTAGCCTACGTGGTTGATGTACAGTACTATGTGTAATAGTTGAATTGGATTTTTAGGTATTTACAGAACCATTTCTACAGAAATGAACAATTATAGTTTCTGTCCTTTCTTGACTATAAGTTGTAGATTGAAACTCTTTGTTTTTAATAAATATTTTATAATTTGTTTAAGAAGTCTAGTTTTGTTTTTTGTTTAGGGTAAACTTCATGATCCAGAAGGCATGGGAATTATTCCAAGAATAGTGCAAGATATTTTTAATTATATTTACTCCATGGATGAAAATTTGGAATTTCATATTAAGGTAATTTTCTTGGGGAGCAACTGTATTTTACTTTACAGCAAGAATAATGTTGTTCTTAAAAAAAAAACAGTAAATGCTAGTTTATTTAAAGTAATTTTAAAACTTATTTTTATGGAAAGGCATAGTTGAAAGATCATTCAGGTTAGTAAACTTGGATTCTTGTTCATCTGCCGTTACATGAACAAGAATGTTAATTAACTTAAATGACTTAAGTCTTTGTTTAGCCTCCTCCAAAAAATAAAGGGGGTTGCTTTACTGTAGAACTCAAAGGTTTCTGCAACTCAAAACTATTCAGATTCATTTTAGATGAAGATATGTAATTTATGTCCAATTGGAAGACTCATAAATAAGCTAATTTAGCTAATTTATGTCTTCCAATTAGAATGTGAGCTAATAACTGTCCTAGTCTAAACAGTTTCTAGTACTCAGACCTCAAAATTAGTAAGTGAATAAGTTATTATATAATTTTAGTTGATTGATCTTTTTTAAAATTTGTTTGCCCTTTAGGTTTCATATTTTGAAATATATTTGGATAAGATAAGGGACCTATTAGATGGTAAGTTAAATTCTTGCTAGTTGATCAGTTTTAAATAACATCTGTTAATCCCTTTTTAATAGTAAATGTGAGACCATTTCTTTGTAACCTATATGAAATTGTCTTAAGTTATTGGAAATAGAGATTTAAATTTTTTTTCTTTTAAAGTTTTAGTTGAATACCTTTAAATAGAATAACTTGTTTAAAGCATGTTTATGGGTACTTTTTTTTTTTTTTTTGAGATGGAGTCTTGCTCTGTTGCCCAGGCTAGAGTGCAGTGGCGCAATCTCGGCTCACCACAACCTCCACCTCCCAGGTTCAAACAGTTCTCTTACCTCTGACTCCTGAGTATCTGGGACTACAGGCACACACCACCATGCCTGGCTGATTTTTGTATCTTTAGTACAGACAGGGTTTCACTGTGTCAGCCAGGCTGGTCTCAAACTCCTGACCTTGTGATCCGCCTGCCTTGGCCTCCCAAAGTGCTGGGATTATCAGCATGAGCCACTGCGCCCAGCCTATGGGTACTACTTAAGTAGTAATTAGAGCATTGGACTGGGAGTTACAGAACCTAAGCCCTGAGTTCTAGTCTTCCATCAGCTGTCAACTAAATACATTGTCCTTAGGCAAATCATTGAATCACTCACACTTAATGTTCTTGTTGATAAAATGTGGGTGGTATAGGTTGGAGTGGCCCTGAAATTCTATATTGTTGCACTGGTTTCTATTTATATCTCCTACTGTGTCTATAAGGTCTACTTTAGAGCAATGTTTTAACCTTTTTTTTTAAGAGTTGAGCTATTGCTGTTAGGCTGTTCAGGGAAGCCTATCAATTGAATTATTTCATATCTAATGTTAGAGTTTTAGGAGAATGTTGCTGACATTTATTTTTCTTTTTCAGTTTCAAAGACCAACCTTTCAGTTCATGAAGACAAAAACCGAGTTCCCTATGTAAAGGTATTTATAGTATAGTTGTCTGTAAAGTCCCTGTAACATATTTTTAAAGGGTATTAACATATTTTAAAAAATTATTTCACAGGGGTGCACAGAACGTTTTGTATGTAGTCCAGATGAAGTTATGGATACCATAGATGAAGGAAAATCCAACAGACACGTAGCAGTTACAAGTAAGTAGAAAATAACACCAGTTAGAGTTTAAAACCAGCTTAAAATATCCTTATCCAGGTGATTCATTGTGAGATTGCTTTAAGGAAATTGTTAACAAGGGGGAATCATGTTTATTTATATTTGTTTGTGTAATTTCATTGCAGATATGAATGAACATAGCTCTAGGAGTCACAGTATATTTCTTATTAATGTAAAACAAGAGAACACACAAACGGAACAAAAGCTGAGTGGAAAACTTTATCTGGTTGATTTAGCTGGTAGTGAAAAGGTAAAGTCTTCATGTATTTTGATAAATAAGCATTTTCATAAACTTTAGTTTGAATTGGGAGTTATGCAGGATTCATTGTTGCATCTTGAAAACTTACCAAATTGGATTTGATAACCTGAGATTTATAACTGCTGATGCAATTGCTTCATGATGATATCAACTGAAAAATCAGTTCCAAGTTACTGTTTGATCGTAGTCTAGTTCAACCCACAAGTGCTCCCTGTGACTTAAGATGTATTCATATTGTGAACTTGTTTGGCATATGTTGTTATAGACTTTATTAGGTGTCCTTTTTCTAATTTTTGATACGTACTTTATTCATACTGGCAGTGGGGTCCCTATTAAATCTGGTAACTATCTATTAGTCTTTTCTGGTTTGGTTGGACTCATTTCTTTCCTTTGGATGATTGTTTCATTATTACAGTTCTATACAGTCTGATTCTAGTCTATGTCAAAATAAGTTTGAATGTTATAATAGGGACCTCTGTGACCATTTCTGCTGTTGTGCTGATTTTGTTTCTTGTGCTTAGAATGATCTTTCAAAGATTATCTAATCTTGAGAATTCTCATAGCTTCTTCAGCCAAAGTTGCTAATTTATTGTTCTAACCTACCTTTAACATAGATATTTAAATATTTTATTTTATTTTATTTTTTTAAAGAAGTAGCTTTGCTTATATAATGTGTTTAAACTCAGTCTCTGTTTTCTAACAGTTAACACATCAACATTATGCATTAACCAATTTTAGAAAATTCCTCTGGGCTGGGTGTGGTGGCTCACGCCTGTAATTCCAGCATTTTGGGAGGCCAAGGTGGGCGGAACACAAGGTCAGGAGTTCAAGACCAGCATGGCCAACATGATAAAACCCCATATCTACTAAAGATACAAAAAATTAGCTGGGCTTGGTGGTGGACACCTGTAATCCCAGCTGCTTGGGAGGCTGAGGCAGGAGAATTGCCTCAACCCAGGGAGGCAGAGGTTGCAGTGAGCTGAGATTGCACCGTTGCACTCCAGCCTGGGCAACAGCATGAGGCTCCATCTCAAAAAAAAAAAAAAAAAAAAAAAAAAAGAAGAAGGAGGTTCCTCTATTCTAATGTAGCAAAGGGCACTAACAAATTAATGAACAACGAATTTACTTTCAAATTGGTTATTTTCAAGAGTACCTATAAACTACAGATAAAATTTGATGTCACTCTAATCAAACTCTTAAAAGTAGTACTCAAGAACTGGTGATACCTAAGAGTAAATGCTTGGCAAATAAGATCATGAAGCTTTTCATATTCTTTTTTTCTTTTTTACTGGTTATTGATGACCTATGAACATTTTAAAAAATTTAAAGAAAATTTTCATAAACTTGTAATTTTGTTTCATTCTTTTGCAATCTTATGCATAGGTTAGTAAAACTGGAGCTGAAGGTGCTGTGCTGGATGAAGCTAAAAACATCAACAAGTCACTTTCTGCTCTTGGAAATGTCATTTCTGCTTTGGCTGAGGGTAGTGTGAGTATACATGTCTTCTATCTCCCTGTTACCTTATGGAGTATTATTTAAATATAGGTGTTGATGTGGGTATGAGTGTGTATGTGTGAGAGAGATTGATTCACTATGTTTGAATCAGTATGTGTAAGTTAGTTGTCTTTTGGGGGTTTATTTTACAATATTGTATATATATCCTAGTTTACATCTTAGTATCAAACAGTTAACCGAAATAATCTTGTAATTTATTTAAAGTATCATATTTATATAACATCTTTTTATACAGAAACCCACTGATCTGCTATGTTTTCTTTCTTTGTTTTTGTATGCAGACGTATGTTCCATATCGAGATAGTAAAATGACAAGGATCCTTCAAGATTCATTAGGTGGCAACTGTAGAACCACTATTGTAATATGCTGCTCTCCGTCATCATACAATGAGTCTGAAACAAAATCTACACTCCTATTTGGCCAAAGGTTTGTTGTTAAGAAAGTACAAAGCCTAAATGTAGATAGACATTTTGTTTACAAAATGTAGGAAAATGTCAGATAGCTATTATTCCAACCTGTACATACTGTTTTGTGCTAGTCACACTCATTTTGAATTGATGGCAGATAGTACAGTGTAGGTCTGTTTTTTAGACTGCTTGGTTTGAGTACACGTTAAAGTCAAATGAAATTTTAGTCAAATTTATGTGACAAGCTGTAATTTGGCATTAAAGAAAATAAGCATTTGAATCAAATGATGATGTCAAAGCCTGGCAAACATAATGCTGTGTTAAGCCTGTAGACATACATGACAGGTTAATATAATCTATATGAGATGATTAGGAAAAATCAATAATAATGATTCAATCTTTGACTTTCAACAGTAATTTTTTAATTCGGCCTTGCAAACAAATTGGAAAAATACAGGCCTTTGTCTTTTATTTTTAGTGGGTTGTTTTTTTTGGGGGGGGGGGGCTATTCACAGATTTTGGAGCAGACTCAAATTTGGGTTGTGAAGGGCCGGGCGTGGTGGATCAAGCCTGTAATCCCAGCACTTTGGGAGGCCGAGGCGGGTGGATCAC